TGTAACTCCTTTAAGACATCATCAAATTCAATCCAGCTTCCGAAACGCCTGCTTAGTATTAAGCGTCGAAACGCCTCCCTTAAGGTCATTCGAATGTCTCTTGAAAATGAATCTCTACAAACAGCACTTAATAGTTATTAAAAAAAAGTTATTTTTGCGACAATACTTAAATATCTGTAGAAAGTACTACAGACATTTAAGACTTACCGGTTACTCGAGTTTTCGTCTTAATTCTTGTGGAAAACAACGGTTCACACAAACCTATGGTATTTTTGACTGCTAATTTATTCTCAATACGCTGGTTCGTGGACTACAACAAATTTTAAGCAAAGATAGTAAGGTTCATTAGGGTAATCGGTATACCAGGTCAAGTTACGAAGCAATAAAAGAGCCAAATTGTACACTACAAAACAGTTTCCGTTTCAATTTGGAAAGGACAGGAGGCTTGATGACTTGTGTTAGTCCTGGCGTTATAGCCTCTGCCAGGGAAGTCCTACTCACTGCCTTCTCGTGACATTACTTCCTTGTACTTCATTGACATTTAGGTAGCCGAAAAATGTTTACATAACGCACACAAATAAGATGAAATGACGAATTTTACTGAAAATACTATTCACACTCCGCATAAAAGTCAAATAATTCCCATTATTATTTACCACGTCACTTACTTTCTTTTATTCCCAAACCGTGTATCCTTACTTTTCAACTGATGCAGCAGCTCGCCCATGGTAGAAACTCTTTTCTATCTAAACGATCCCCAGTCACTGTCTAATCGCCTCCAAATGCCCTGGTACGGCCGAGAGTGGGGAGAGTCCGCTCTCCCTCTCGAAATGCTCTCACACGGCCAGCGAATATATAGCCTCTGCCAGGGAAGTCCTACTCACTGCCTTCTCGTGGCGGGGGTGTTGTTTACGAAATTGAGAGGACGAAAAGCGAATGTCCGGAGCTTTAACCGGGTTGGTGGACACGGAGGGTCCACTTAGGGGAGTTGGAAAACCCTGATTCCAAACCAATGGTGTACATGGGCTCCAGTATCCTGATGGAACGAATGGCGTATAAACCAATTGTTGATCACCGGCTACCATGGGACTGCATCTCCTCACGATGCTTCACTGTATTGTGGATCAGATCTGTAGGTCAAAGGCTCCGGGTGTGGCCCCTAAGAAAACCACCTGCTTCAGTTTGGGCACCTGAGCAGTATCACAGCCCTCGCACAAGTAGATGAAATGACGCTTTTAACTGACAATGCTATTCTCACTCCTACCAAAAGTCAGACAATTTACATTATTATAATTTACCACGTCACTTATTCACTCCCTTTTATTCCCAATTCGTGTATCCTTACTTTTCAACTTATGCAGCAGTTGGCCCATGGTGAAAACTCTGTTCCATCTAAATGATCTCCAGCCACTGTTTGGTCGAACGTGAATGCTACTACCGAATGTGAATAGTGATCCCGTTTTTCTGAAATCACGTACACCATTAAACTGTCTTCCTTCAACGTTCGCACACTAATGTAGATCAAACAACAGATAGGGTTGGCTATGTCTTACTTACTTACGCCTGTTACCCCTTGTGGAGGAGCATAAGCCGCTCACCAGCATTCTCCATCCAACTCTGTCCTGAGCCTTCCTTTCCAGTTCTTTCCAGTTGCTATTCATCCTTTAATATCGGCTTCTATTTCCCGGCGTAGTGTGTTCTTTGGCCTTCCTCTCTTCCGCTTCCCTTCACCATTCCAAGTTAGGGATTGAGTCGTGATGCACATTGGTGATTTCCTCAATGTATGTCCGATCCACTTCCAACGTCTTTTCCTAATTTCCTATTCAGCTGGAAGCTGATTTGTCCTCTCCCATAAAACGCTGTTGCCGATAGTATCCGGCCAGTGGATGTTGAGTATTTTGCGTAGACAGCTGTTGATAAATACTTGTACCTTCCTGATGATGGTCGTAGTAGTTCTCCACGTTTCAGCTCCGTACAGTAGGACTGTCTTGACGTTCGTATTAAAGATTCTGACCTTGAAATTGGTTGAGAGTTGTTTTGAGTTCCATATGTTCTTCAATTGTAGAAATGCTGCCCTTGCTTTGTCAATCCTCGCCTTTACATCTGCATCCGATCCCCCTTGTTTATCAACGATGCTCCCCAGGTACTTGAATGTTTCCACCTCTTCCGGAGTTTCGCCATCAAGTGTGATTGGGTTGGTGTTCTCCGTGTTGCATTTGAGAATCTTGCTTTTTCCTTTGTGAATGTGGAGACCTATCGATGCGGAGGCTGCTGCTACATTTGCGGTCTTCATCTGCATTTGTTCGTGTGTATGAGGGAGGAGGGCTAGGTCATCTGCGAAGTCCAAATCATCTAATTGATTCTGAGAAGTCCATTGTATTCCGTATTTCCCTTCAGATGTCGAATTCGTCATAATCCAGTCAATCACTAGAAGGAAGAGAAATGGGGAGAGTAGACAGCATTGTCTGACTCCGGTCCTTACTGGAAATGCATCTGTCAGCTGTCCTCCATGCACCACTTTGCACTGTAGTCCATCGTATGAGTTTTGGATAATGTTGACAATCTTTTCAGGAACTCCATAGTGTCGAAGAAGTTTCCATAATGTTCTCCTGTCCACGCTGTCAAACGCCTTCTCATAGTCAATGAAGTTGACGTATAGTGATGAGTTCCACTCAACTGATTGTTCAACGATGATCCGTAGTGTCGCAATCTGGTCTGTGCACGACCGATCCTTACGGAATCCAGCCTGATGATCTCTAAGTTCAGCGTCTACTGCGTCTTTCATCCGATTCAGCAGCACTCTGTTGCAAACTTTTCCTGGTACTGATAACAAACTGATGCCTCTGTAGTTTTCACATTTGCTCAGATCTCCTTTCTTTGGTATCTTGATGAGATATCCTTCTTTCCAGTCCGTTGGCACTTGTTCCTCTTCCCAAATCTTCTTGAATAGAAGGTGAAGCATATTTGCAGTTATTTCAATGTCTGACTTCAGTGCTTCTGCTGGTATATTGTCAGGTCCTGTCGCCTTCCCACTTTTGATCTGTCTGATGGCCATCTTGACTTCTTCGATCGTTGGTGGAGTGACATCTATTGGAAGGTCAGTGTGGGCTGCTTCGATGTTCGGTGGATTCAATGGGGCTGGTCTATTCAGCAGTTCCTCGAAGTATTCTGCCCATCTTTTCCTCTGTTCTTGAATCTCGGTGATTGTCTTTCCTTCTTTGTCTTTGACTGGTCTCTCTGGTTTGCTATATCTCCCTGCCAATTTCTTCGTTGTGTCATATACTTGTTTTATATTCCCTTCTCTTGCAGCTTTTTCCGCCGCCGTTGCTAGTTCTCCCATATATTTCTGCTTGTCGGCTTTAATGCTTTTCTTCACTTCCCTGTTTGCTTCTGCGTAGTCTGCTTGTGCTTTGACTTTCTCTGCTCGTGTTCGGCTGTTGTTAATTGCTAGTTTCTTGTTCTTCCTTTCTTGAATTTTGTCCAGGGTTCCCATAGAGATCCATTCCTTGTGATGATGCTTCTTAGGACAAAGAACCTGCTGACACGTTGAAGTTAGTGCTTCTTTTATCCCTTTCCAGTTGTCCTCCAAAGTAGTTTCTTGTTCTTTCAGTAGATCCTGTAGAGCTTGGAACCTGTTGTTGAGAGTTATCTTGAATTCATGGAGCTTGTCAGTATCTCGAAGGAAGGCTGTATTGAACCTTTGTAGTGCTGTTTGTCCAGTTGTCCAGTTATTCTTTAGCTTCAGTCTCATCTTGGTCACAATCAGGTGGTGATCTGAAGCTATGTCAGCTCCTCTCCGGGTTCTCACATCTTCCATTGATCTTCGTAATTTTTTGTTGATACAGATGTGATCTATCTGATTCTCTGTGGTGTGGTCCGGTGAGATCCATGTAGCTTTGTGTATACGTTTGTGTGGGAATATTGTGCCGCCTATAACCAATTTGTTGAAAGCACATAGGTTTGCAAGTCTCTCCCCATTTTCATTTCTCTCTCCTAATCCATGTCGTCCAATTACATCTTCATATCCTGTGTTGTCCACCCCAACTTTAGCATTTAGATCTCCCATCAGGATTGTGAGGTCAGTGGTCAGTGTATGACATGGTGTCGTGGCATGAAAGAAAGCTGCAAAGGGTTAGCTTCTGTTGGTCCTTCACGACTCCCTGGCTGGGGTCCGAGAGATGGTGCAACACAGTGGCTAGAGACGTTATTAGATATGGCTCAGAATAGAAGCCAGTGGCGATCCTGCTGTAACCTTCTTTTACTTTCTTCAAAAAGAGTGGTTTTAACTTTCTTAACTGAAAGAGTTCTTCTGGTTGTACATTTCAGTTTCCCACAGCACTACTCTTATTATTTTTATAATATACATCTTACTTCTTTCCTCTTCTCATTCTCAGTGTTTGGTGTAGCGAATATATATCTGGTGCCCCCTTGTACCAATATTTGTGTTTAAATAAAGCATTAATTATATGACTAAAAGCCCTACGTATGGACCATAAAGTTCTAAAACCTTTGGCGGCAGTAGTCTTTAAGTTTTGGCTAACGATGACTCCTAGGTCATTTTGTGTCTGGACAATAGGTAGCTCAGTGTTGTTCATCGTGTATGTATCTGTACCTTGATGACCAATATGTATCACAATACACTTGGAAGTATTTATCGGTAACTGCCAGGTTTGGGACCATTCAGATAGTTTCTCCAGGTCGTTTTGGAGTTCTCAGCCATCACCCTTACTTTGTATCGCTCTCCACATCTTGACATCGTCAGCATATAGCAAGATTGATGACGGGAGGGAGGTCATTTACGTACAGGAGGAATAACACTGGCCCCAAAACTCTAGGAAGCTAAAATATAGCTTTTTGCATTGATTTTGCGAATTTACTGCAGCAAAACCTGACTCAATTATGGGAAAATCTGATATTCATGCAATCCAACGGACACCCAACAGAACCTCGACAACTCAAATACGGAATGACCGCCTCTTGTCAGGCCGTTCAAGGTCGCTGAAACAAAACGGCGGGCGTTTTTGAAAGGCTCTGACTTTTTAACCTTGCCGACGTTATCCTGTTTAACAGCAGATTTACATTGTTATTGTGTAGAAAAACTTGGCGGACTTTATTAAAAACATAATTCAGTTTGTTAAGCACGTTTTTTTTTATATAACTGCCATTTGAAGAGCATTTGTTGATAATTCAAAGTCTAGCCACACTCAAGGACTACCAAGCTTGGTAGTCCTTGAGTGTGGCGCAAACAATCCTCTCACCCTTGTAAACACAGGAGCTTGGTTGATCGTTGAGACTTTTTATGTATTTATTTACGGCTTAACTTTAAGCTTAGAAATAGGTGATGAGTATTCATAAACATAGCAGCAACATAACTAAATTCTGCATTTGTCTTTGGAAATGAAAGTGGCTCAAGGGTGATTTCTTAATTTATCGGGAAACACCCTTTTAGGCATAAAGCAGGAAAAATGATCTTAAAAAGAGATCTTTTGGACTTTGTCCTCTTTGAGAATAGTCTAATTTATCCCAAAGCCTCATATTCCCAATTAGGTGCTTAGTTTCCGTTTATTTCGTGTATTTCTTGGTGACATCAACTCAATCAGAATATGTTATATCGCAACATATAATGAAGAAAAACGAAGATATGCTGTAAAGCTTTGGTATTATATTCATAAACCCTAAATATCCTGAAAATCTTTTGTCTCATATTCTTATCACCCAGCTTTTTAATCGACACTTGAAGGCACCAGTTGGTGTTTATGACGAGTTTTCTTATGTATAATTCAGATTCAAAAGGTTATGTAGTTGTCACATGAACTCGTATTCTGGAATCTCTCTTCAAGTATGTTGAATAGTGAATACTGAGCGTACACCTTGGTGCTTTACTTGTTAATACTATCGTAAAGTTGGTTGTGAGTTTATGGACGTATTTGAACCAACAACGGACTTTTTACTGTCATTTTTTCGTAGCGTTCTCTATATCTTGGTATTGTCGGTGCATACGACTGAGAACAGCGGGTTCGGAATGTCATTTACCTGTAAGAGAAATGAAAAGCTCCACGACTTTTCTGAACTCCAGGAACTTCCAACAGCAGAATATTACGCCTCTGCAAAAATGTCGTTTTGCTTCAGTTGGGTCTAACACTAATGACTTATGGTACGGCTGAAGAGTTTAGAACCAAACATAAGATTATTATATACCAAAGACTTTCAGTAGTGGATAAGAGTACGTATAAGTAATACTCTCTCCTAGTGGAAGCTAATGAGACTGTGTCTTACACGATATGGTTGTAGTTCGGTGTCAGTCAACCAGTCTTACACAACGTAAAGTTTGTAATGCGTCGGCTCAAGTTTCCACGCTACATCAGCAGAGTGAAATTCCACAGTAGTATGTGTAGCAAAAATATCAATAATAGTAGAAAGATTAGACTTGGTTTCTATAATTCGTGAAGATGTGGATACCTACCGTAGAAAATAAGGCGGTTCCGAAAATCAAGACGTAAAAGGAAGATAGTGTGAGTTCACCAACGCCGTTGTGACCGATTCTGGGCCATGTCATCCAACGCCTATTATTGGTTACAATATGCTTAGAAACCTCAACCAGATAGTATGAGTATTCCGATATGGTTTAGTCTAACTGTAAATGGCTCCATGAACTGATGTTTAAACTTGGTTTGACCGCTCTCAGCTTCCTTCCAACTTGCTTCTATACCAGCTATTATCACTTGTCGAGGTAGACGGTGTTTAAAAATACGTAACATGTCCCAGCCACTTAAGCGGATGAAGACTAATTATTTCCTCAACCTTTTTATCATACCTACTTAATGCCCCATGTCTAATCTTAGCATTTCTCTCTTGGTTATCCCAACATTCACGAGCGACACTTGGCAGGTCCCGTTCCTTTTCCCCTCATGATAAAGACAAACTGTCTGCAGTATAAAAATCTCACATTTTAATAATTGTATGGAGAACCATGCAATGTTTTACATCATTCTTAACTCTACTAAAATTCAATACGTTGAAGCTTACCATATATTCAACTTAGTACTAAAAATAAGTCAACAAAAGTATGTTTCTTTATTTGTAATGGTTGTAAGATTTCAGAAAATTAATTCTTCTGTTGTTACTGGATAACTAACAGGATTAGTCAGATAGTTTAAGGAAGATTAGTAGACTTATCTTATAATTTATGGAGTCAAAATTGTGTTGGTAGTTGAATTATCCTGTGGTAGTCTGTCCTGAAAAAGCTAAGTAAACTAATGGAAAATCAAAAAAAAAAAACTATCAATGTTGTTATTTGGTTATTTTACGCTGTAAAATGGACAATATGAATCAAAAGTTCACAATTTCGGATTTTTGAACGTGTGTAATTTACAATTTATTTAGTCTGTACTCGTCCAAAGCATTTACACTGTTTTTATCATGCTCCTATTTCATGTCTAAGTTTTAGTTCGTCACGTTTCTTATACACTGTGGACCGAGAAGTTATATTCGCACTTTCCAAGAACGTACCCAAATGGATCTATAAAAAAAACAAATGATGGTAATGAAATTTATCACACACTTTCTTGCTCAAATCGGTAAGGTAAATAATTTTATCTAATTATACGTTTAGGACCGCAGTCTGAATATACTTGGACTCGTCTAATTTACAGTACACTTAAGGCTCCTACATATCATTTGTACTTTGAATTGCTACTAATTATTGGTATTATATGGTTGTTGTTTAAACGCAGTTATCGTATTAATGACGTGATTAATCTAAGTGTGGAAGAAAAAAATCAACTGATTAGTGAATGGAAACCCGATAGTTTGGTTCCAAAAGATTGGGAACCATCAAAATATCTATTAAAACAATTCCACAGATGTGCATATGGTCCTCTTGGCAAGTAAGTAATATTTCCCAGTTTATCATCTACTTCTGTAACGTTGGTTGTTGATTGTTAGACAAGGAATAAGGACGGATGCACATCGAAATAAAAGAGTATTGATGATTAATATTTACGAACAAAAGACAACTGTGTTCCAAAGTTGTTTCGAGGGTAAAATAAAATACCTAAACTTGTCTTGAGTACAGCTGTTACAATAATCTCTGGAACAAACTACTAATTGTTACTCACTCAGTCAGTCACAATGTAGAACTTCGTACGTACGTACATCAGTTCCAGTTGCCATACCACATTAGCAAAGGGATGCAGTTGTCGATTCAAATCCCATAGTGGTAGAAGTAGTAAGAGTATAAGCATTATGTGAAAGATTAGGGTTTGAAGATGTTATTGAAGTAGTATAATACAGCGAAATAAATTTGGAAAGAGAAAAAGGATAGGGACATGAGAAATTCAGGAGATTAGAGTTTAGTAGAACACTAATTGTTACTACATATGAGAAATTCCACTGAAAACTATCCACTAACACAAAGAATTATGTTTGGAGTCGTAATAGTATAAAGCAATCAAAACAATGCATCTTTTGACATCCACAGACGTTTAGATTAATATGGTAGGCTAATAATGTCTCTAGGTACCATATTTTGAAAGGCATAGAAATATATCCCTATTCATGCTCCTCACTTATTTTATCTTCACATCTTTAATGTGTATACGAATATCCTAGCTATTCTCATCCCATGCGTCGTTTCTGTTTTCAAATACAGTAAAATATTGTGATGTAATGTTCCCATTTTACAGCCTTGTTTCACAGTTGTTTCTACGACTTCAGTTTTATTTATTTATTTAAAAACATACATATTGGTACAAAAGGGCACCAGATACATATGTGCCACACAAAATAATGAAAATGGAAAGAGAAAGTATGAAAAGATAAGGCGGACTGAAATGTAAAACCGGAAAACTCTTTCAGTTAAGAAAGTTAAAACCACTCTTTTTGAAGAAAGTAAAAGAAGGTTACAGCAGGATCGCCACTGGCTTCTATTCTGAGCCATATCTAATAACGTCTCTAGCCACTGTGTTGCACCATCTCTCGGACCCCAGCCAGGGAGTCGTGAAGGACCAACAGAAGCTAACCCTTTGCAGCTTTCTTTCATGCCACGACACCATGTCATACACTGACCACCTCTCCGCTTTTTCCAACCAGTCTCAGAGTCGGCAAATAATGCACGACGTGGAATTCTCCGGGACGACATTCGTAGAACATGTCCAAGCCACCGAAGTTGGTGTTTCAAGATGGTGACACCAATTGAATTATCGTCTCTGCGCCCGAACACACGATGCCGAACCTCAGCATTACTAACATAGTGTTGCCACTGGATGTCAGCAATCCTTCGGAGACAACGATGATCGAACACAGAGAGTCGCCCAATATCCTCGACTTGGAGATGCCAGATTTCACAAACATAGAGCAAAACTGCTCTCACCGACGCGTTGTAGATCCGACCTTTTACAGTCAGACTAACATCACGAAGGCGCCAAAGATGGCCCAGATTGGCATAAGCCTCTCTGGCTTTCGTTACACGTGCATCGATCTCATCACTCACGCCACCACCAGCACTTATACAGCTACATAGATACACGAACTTCTCAACTACTTCAATCTGCTCACCACTCAGGGTGAGTAAAGGATTAAAATCCTGCCAGTCTTGTAGAAGTACTTTGCACTTAGAGGGTGCAAAGCACATGCCGTACCTGCGGACACTGATTGCCAACTGATTAAGTGCGGATTGCATGCCTTGGGCATTATCGCACAGTAAGACAATATCATCCGCATACTCAAGGTCGAGAAGTCGTTCTCCAGGCAGCAGATCCACACCGCCATTACTTACATCCATCAGAGCTGTTGCCAGAATGTCATCGATGGCAAAGTTGAAGAGGAATGGTGAGATTGGGCAACCCTGCCTAACCCCACTGCTTGAATGGAACAAGGGAGAAAGGTGGTTGTATGCCCTCACTCTGCCTGAGGTGTTTGTATACAGGGTCTTTAAGATGTTAATGAACTTCTCAGGCACACCCTTCTTCAATAGACAATCCCAGTTAATAATACAGTTAATAATACAATACAATACAGTTAATAATACAACATTTGGTTCTGTGGACAGTTCTTGTTTGTTCGAAATAGGCTTTCATCACAGTGATTTCGATTCTATCAGACAATTTAATGGTAAAGACATTCATTCAAAATACATCTACATTCAGGGATCTTGCTGATCAATACCTAATCGACTAAAAAAGATAAATTCAGTGTGTTGTTGTTTTACGTTTTATATATTTTCGCATTACTGTAGAGGTCAATGATGTCCAAATTATAAAATATACAAATATTGTCCTAAATTTCATTTTAAACGTCCTATCTACTTGTCTGAAGTTCCTTATAAGTGGGAATAATACCTGAAAGGGTAAATGACGTCACTTGTTCTTGTTAGCTGTTTGCATTATCTACAGGTGAGTTATCTAGCCCCATTCTCTTCCACTCAAATAAAAGGTGTTGTGGTTGAATTTTATTTCATGCAGTAGTGAGATATATTGATTTCCCAGTGTCCGATTGTGCATTTCGTAACATGTCATTAATATCAATGATTCTACAAATTCGTTTTCCTCTATTGTTTTTTCCAGATATGTCAATTTCAACTTGGAAGTGGAAGAGTTTGAAGCTACTGAAATGAATGTTAGTAAGAACCATCTCAATTTTGCGACATTAAATTTCTTAAACTTTGTTGGGGATTCGGATTTGTCTAATGTTGCTACTGAACAGATGAAAAAATATGGTGTTGGATCATGTGGACCAAGAGGATTTTATGGTACTTTTGATGTTCATCTTGAATTGGAAAATAAATTAGCTGAATTCCTTGGTGTTGAAAAAGCAGTAATCTATTCTTATGGAGCAGCTACATTTTCTAGTGCTATTCCATCCTATTCCAAACGAACTGATGTAATATTTGCAGATGAACGTATCAGCCATGCTACGTATCTAGGATTAGTGGCATCTAGAAGTCATGTTCGATTTTTCCGTCATAATGATATGGAGCATTTGGAACAGTTACTGATAGCACAGGCGAAAAAAGATAAAGAAGATCCTAAACGTGCATTACTAACCCGCCGATTTTTTGTTGTTGAAGGTATTTATTTCAATTCTGGAGAAATATGTCCCTTATCTGAGCTTATTGCTTTAAAGTATAAATACAAAGTTCGCATTTTGTTAGATGAGACCATTTCTTTTGGAGTATTAGGTAAAACTGGTAGGGGTGTAACCGAATATTTTGGTGTTAATATCGAAGACATTGACTTAATCTCAGGTAAGCTTATGCTTTTATTTCACATTTCTTCATTTGTATAACTTTTTTCTTATTGATTGTTTTATCTATGATTAGCTACTTGTTTAGTGAATTCACAATAATAATATTCTGATTGGCTGGGGATTGTTGATTTGATAAAGCAAAGGTCAAGGTTTTTACCTCCTACACTGAATTACTTAACTACACAATAATATAATTGCATGCATTAACTGATAAACGTCAGTCGTAAATCATGACTGTTATGGCTGCTATGACCGTTACCTGACAATTTCTCATGGTGATTTAGCAGGTGTAAAACAGTTTGATCCAGACAATTTTTGTTATTAAATTTTTCAAGTGTAAGTAAATGATGATTGCAGTTGGACGGGAAGTCTAATCACGATCCCGTTTGGTATTTGTTATAGATAATTGACTTAGCACTCTACCATCTCAGCAACAAAATTCAATCTCTTAATTTTACTAAATACTATGCCAAAGTTATTTTTGATAGAGTCTTGCTGTATTAGGTTTTCTTAAAAATTTAATTTTTATTCGTGCAAATTTGTTTAATTTGGATTAATCTGAATATGTTGTCCCGATATTTTATTATTATCATCACTGATGAGGTGACTTGGTTTTCAACCAGTGATACGCATGTTCAAAAACGCTCCTATTCATTTCTCGAAACCGTTCTAAATTTAACATATTAAACTAAATAAATAAGCTACTTAAAGATTAACCAAATTATCCGTGTGTATAGTGGGGATTCCATTATACTACAAACTTCTCAATAAGTATTAAACGGTACATCAAATAATAATCAAAATCAGTAGCTCACTCTCACTTATTGACTTCGTAAAGCTTCACCAATAAACAAATTTGTCAGGATTAAGAAAACTTTTAATCAACTGGATAAGTGAACTTAAAATTAATGCTATGGAGTAAACAAACCAATTTATAACGATTTATTAAGTGTAGTATGACAAATATTCGATGACTAACACGGGATTTACGAAGGTTGCACTTTCCAAGGACTTCGATTATATTAGTAATAATCAATGAGACTTCTGTGTGGTTATTGTTCACCGTTAATATTATGACTGTCAACTTAGGGTAGAGGATGTGTGTGAGTTATCTTACTACTATTATGCGACTTTCGCTCCATAATTTCCGTACTACACCTAATGGATTGTTTTGTTTACCTAATAGGTTCATTGGAAACTGCTTTAGGAGTATGTGGAGGATTTTGTGCTGGATCGCAGTATGTTGTTGGTCATCAAGAACTTTCTGGACAAGCATATTGTTTCTCAGCTTCTCTACCACCCATGTTAGCTAAAGCTGCATGTACAGCAATTTCTAAATTGCAGTCACCTAAAGAAAATGGTAGACGTAACCAGCGGTTATTGGAATTAGCCAGGTTAACTGACAATTTGTTTCATTCGAACAGCAAGTTAACCAGTATTTGGAAACTATATGGTCATCCAGATAGCCCCTTAAAACACTTAAGATTAAGAGAAAATAACACTTTGGGTAAACTTGAGGCTGTTGTTCAAACTGCTTTTGTTTGGACTGATGAACGAAACTTTAAAGCACCTCCTTTATTGTTGACAGTATCAAGGTTAGTAATACTTAGTTGCACGCTAATTTATATCATATTTATTCTTAATGTTACTGCTAATATTCAAAGATTGTTTGTACAAAGTATTGTGATAATTTATAGGCTTTTTTGTGAGAGCGTAAGTTACATTCATTAAATAGACTGTCTTGCTACCCAAATAAATAAAGCAGAATTCTACTTGATAACCACTGTTAAAAATTTCAGCAGCTAAGCTATTCGGTGAAAGCCATGAAATCCCTTCAAAATTTATGCTAATGAACATAAATCCTGAAGCAAGTGATGACCAAAAAAGTATGCGCTACACAAATAATGGGATAATTTTGTGAATGAGTAAAGGTTAAAAGGCGACCGCAATCGGAGCAAGAATATTACATAATATGACGTGCAGTCCATTAAAAAACAACCAGAAAGACCTCAGTAAAGAACGCTCCCCTCACTATTTTAAAGAATGATAAAACTATAGCAAAATCCCCACTGGTTCTTACTATTAGCCTTCTCTAAGAACGTTTTAAACCATTCAGTTGTATGGTGTTTAAGACTCTAACCAGGGAGTTGTGAGGAGCCAACAGATGCCAGCACTACACAACGTCCATCCTGTAGCTGCATGTTACACACTAACTACCTCCTCTCTCGTAACCCCGTCCCAGGTTCGGCAAATAATACACAGTGTGGAAGCATCTAGAATAGTGTTCGTAGCACATGTCTAAGCTACCGAAGCTAGTGTTTCAAGGTGGCGACACTAGTTGAATTGTTGTCATGAGCCCAAACACACTTCCCGTATCTCAGCATTACTAACACGGTATTGCCACTAGTCATCAACAATCCTTAAGAGATAGTGATGATCGGACACATGGAGTTGCGAATATCTTCAGCTTGAAGATGCCAGGCTTCGCAAGTATAAAGCAAATTTCTCGCGCGCGATATGGTATAGATCCGATCTTTTACGGCCAGACTAGTATCGCAAAGGCTCCAAAGGTGGGGCATATCGTTGTCGAGCGCTCTGGCTTCCTCCAAACGCAGATTGACCTCATCAGTTACGTCTCCATCTGCACTCACAAAAATATCTAGGTCGGCAAGCCTTTTGACTTCCTCGTTCAGAGCTGTTCCCAGGATATTATCGATGAAGAAGTCAGAGGGGACGAGTGAGATTGGACGACCTCGTTGACTGCTGTGTTGGATGTTGGTACTGGGAAGAAGCAGGTTGTAGTCTTCAAAAAGTTGAAGGAGACTTGTGACGGACGGTGTCCCAAATCTAATACACGATGTGCTACGCGCTAACCTTCGCCCCTCAAACTGACCACTTGAGTAAGAACGTACGAGTGAGCGAAAGTGTTTTGGGCTACAGAATAAAACGCACTAATACTCATTTAAATATAAACATTTCTAACTCTCAGGAAATTGATCCATTTCCTGGACAATGAAATGCACTTGCTCGTTAGGTCACTTCTGGTTGCCATCGATCGACCTTATTTGGCAAATTCCGATTGGTTCTCCGTATCAGAAAGTCACCTCGCTCTGACTAGGAACCAACGAGTCCCCTTTTGGCTACCCAGGTGACTCTCCTCTGTGCATAGACTTCAGACCCGTGCATTCAAATCCCCGGATAGTACTACAACATCTGTCAAATGCACCTCACTGATATCGTTTATTTGATCGTAGAACTCATCCTTATTTGTATCTGGGCTGCAATCTGTGCAGACGTAGTCGAGGATCGCGAAACGATATCGATTCCCACGCCAACTTCTCCCCACTTTGTTTGTGTTTTCTAATCGAACAGCACATAGACGACTGACAGTAGGGACCCGCTCGACTAATATGACCTTCACCCCCCCCCGCTTGCTGTGGCATCGAAATCAGATATTAGTCCCACAGGCTTTCCAAACAATCTTATATGAAGTAAACTTTTCTGATTGACGGGTGGAGAGCGAAATCGTAGTAAATTGAAAGAGTCTTGAAAATGGGTCTTGGAAGTACACTATGCATTTGTAGGATTTATTTTGTCCTACAGATATACTATTAAAACTGTAAACGCGATACTGGCGATCTCAGAGTCTATGTGAAAGCTATAGTCAGAACAAGGACAACTTGGCTTTAAACTTTATCTGTTTCTAAACATAAAAACAATTAGATTAGTACAATAATTAAAGAATTACAGTCATTAAGTGAAACGCACAAACATACCGACCAGTATTACGTGTCTTAATAAAATGAATAAAATTTATGAGTCACACTAATATAATAGGATAATAATGTCTTTCAATTGGTAAGTCACATGCAACAGGGATAGTTTACAGACATATCAAATCAGATTGACGTGGTGGGAGCTTAATCAACGATTTGATTGGTTAGTTATGGACATAACTAACATTCCCCCCAAGCGGACACCACGTCCATGCTTCATTACTGTCGCGTCTATATAATCGGCTTCTCCAAAGAGACAGGTTCCGTATATCCCGGCTGATCTCTTCAGTCGAACTGTTCTGACTCGTCCATTTGGACCATGTCAGATCAATTATTCTTAATAGTTAGGTTTAGCTCTATGACATCGGATTACTGACAATCTTGTTACTTTTTTTAGATATACGTATAGTATAAATTTCCCTACTCCACCTCCAAGTATTCGTATTGCATTGAATTGTGATTTAACTAACGAAGAATTGGGCCATCTATTCTATGTTCTTTCTTCAATAGTTCCTGCATGAATCGACCAGTAAATCATAAAATTTACATTCATCAATGTTGGCTGTGAAACATTTTAACAAAACATGATATTTTTCACGATAATCTTGAGGACCTCATTAGCTCAATAATAATATATTGGTAGTTTTTGTAAATGCCTCTCTTAGTAATAAACAGGTTTATAACTAAAATATTTTTGGTTTTTAAAATATAATAATTAGTGTTTCCGCGCAATCCTTTGTTTATTATTTCCGTAGAATTTTGTCGAAGCTTTAAATGTAAAGTAACTGTCTATTTTCTGTCTACCTGATATCTAGATACTCATCACATAAGCGTTGTATGATCCGAAATTTCTATTTTACACTTTGAATGGACATGTTCTCATATATGATATGCGATAAACTCTTAATTGTTGAGTCTCAATAAATCTTTAATGGATTTAACCTGCTGTACAAAACAAATAGTTAATAGTTGGTCAGTGTACGATTTTACAAACAGATCAATAGAATAAGTTCTGTAATTTGTTGGACCACAAGATTTCCTTCATAACAGAAATTCGGATATCACATTGACCGGATTACAATGAAGTTTAGCTGAATATTTAAGATTCCACCCTTATTGCAAATGACATCAAGAGTTTTGTGCCCATAAAACCAGTCCCCCCGGGATAAGAATGGGATTAATGTTCTTGTTTATTCCATTTCATAAACACGTCAGATTTATTTTCGAGAACAATTATTAGATGACTCAAAATTTATTTTTCTCTAGTACACTAGATATGGAATAGTCCCACCATGTTATATTATAGTCTATTGAGAAGCTTATGATGCAAACTGCACAATTTACAATATATTTTTGTTTACTATCCGTGTATTTCACTACACAAAATTTACTCTTTGTACTGTAACGTAAGAGATCCCTTGCTATTCAAGAAAAATAAAGCGCAAAAAGCCTTAAATATGGTAAGCCAAAAATAAGTAGCCAAATGAGGAAGTCGGTCTATGGTAATCAGAAGCAACCTGAAGAAAAAGCGAATTTCACTGGCCAAGAAATTGATCGACTTCCTAAGGGGTAGAAAGGCTTTTATTTAAATGAGTATTTGTGCATTTTATTGGCTAGCCCAATGTACTTTCTCGCTCAAGTAGTCAGTTGGAGGGTTAGTGCATAGCACGTTCCGTATCAGTGCCAAATTTCGATATCGCCCATCTTAACAGATTTTTTCTTGATTTCATTCAATTAAACCTTAAAGTCGTATTTATTTAATAATAATTTATCTGCTCAGGCTAGTTGTCTGTAGTGAGATAGAAGGTTGTCGGACAATTAGAATTAATCAATATCACCCAACCTGGCTATATAAGAGACGAGAAAAGTTGGTTGGAAGCATAATCTTGAAACACCCAGTTAATTCTTAAACTCTGAATCACTGGAATCCTTCAAAACCGTTATGGCTATCAATCAATTCAAGCCTAATCCTTACGTACAAAAACAGTATGTTTAGCTACTTACTAGACTGTTGTCTTAACATACCTCTCTATCTTTCATAATCAATCATTTGCTGCCTAATCCTTCCCTACCATTTTCACCACTATTAATTTGCCATCGTTACAACTTTCAATCATTCTGCCCTTGATAGGTAAGTGGAGAGTTATCTTCACCTCAACATTTTTCATCGGCCGATAATTACGCAACTTGCTTCTAATATCTGATTTTTGTAATTAATTTAGGATACGATAACTCTTCACTATCTTAAGATTACTCAACACTATTTTATCGCAGACCACTATTTTTAGCAAATACAACTGCAAAGCTTAAGTCAATGAAACCGTCAATAAAATTTTCTTCAGTAAAAGACTGCGAGATTGTTGAGTGAGATCATGAACCAACCAATTTCAGACCACTACTGGAAGGAAGAAAGTTATGAGATTAAAATTGCTTCATAACTTTCTTCCTTCCTATACTATATGCTTATATACAACCTATCTTTTATATACTACCACCACTAACTTAACTACTTCTATGAATCCGGTGTTTATCTTGTTGTGCTAACGAGGTATGGCAACTTGGGCCGATGCCTAAATGTGCCTGGTTCTACGTTGTAGCCGACTACTGGGAACTTGAAAGCCTTTAGAGGTACCGAATCGACTGTGGAATAAAAACCTGCTTAATCTAAGTAAATAGTACGATGAAACGTTTTACGCAAAATTTTAACCGTATTAATAAATTCTGCCTGACATTATTTCTACACATAAAAACAAAAGTAAAGATAATTAATCGGATCTTTTTCAGAACATACTTCATGATACATAGTTGAAAAACATATAACTTAGAGTGTTAAATTTAAAACATTCTGAATATTTATAAAACAAATTGGTGACTGAAATCATTAGCAAAAAAGGTTACTGAAGTAATGAATCTCTGGAAACTTAGCAAGCTATTTGATACAAAAGTTGAAACGACAGGAATAAACAATAAACGCGATATAAATATGAGACAAAAATAAAAGAGGTCCATTAAAAGACGAATAACAGACAAGAAACAAAGTTAACTGTTCTCAGCAAAAAACTCATATATCTGAATATAATTTTATGTAAACAAATCATAGTTTTGTAATTAACTTCATCCTTCATGTTTTATATCACCACGCTTACTCCGTTTATTTGGAGAAGAAACACCTTTGTAAAAAATAATAAAAAGTAAAGTACAAATTGATGACGTTTATAAATGTAATTTGATTTAATGACATGTTTGAGTCACTTACCTACTTTGTAAAATCGAAGTAGTTGATGTGAAGTTCCTTCATATGTGTCCTGGTAGCCACGAATTGACTGACTTAAACTATTGATTTACAAAGGTAAACCACACTTATTTGACAACATATATCCATTTATGCCCTCAGTCATCAAATCATTTGTACCACAATCCACATCAACCAAATGGTGGTTACCACATTGGGGGTAGTGCATACTTTTTCTACTTAAAAAATATACCAAAGAGTCTTGATGTAAAGATAAATTCTTACAGCTATTTAAGACCATACCATGGTGTTTAGCATTCAACCATTTCACAAGGGGAAAAACTAGAAACTATCTCAGATATAATATATATATATATACTCGTTCCGCTGTGATAGTTTTAAGTACACCAAAAAAACTGCCAGGACTGAACTTCCACTTTCGTTCTGATGGTTGATTATTTTCTTAAATCATACTCATGCAGGAAACTTTATCAATTGTATATTTACATATCTGTACCTACATGTAGTGTATCAATAAGTTTACAACTGAAGACATAAAAAAATGAATATACATATTTGGGTATCAAGAATATGTGGATACATACCATCAGACGAATTCAAGAGAGGAAAGTCAGTGAAACTTTGAATATTTACTGAGCGTTTGCCAACAATATTTTGATTGAGATGTACTGAAGATCTTTTTTGAGCGACTGCAGAAAGTGATTGCATATCGTTTGTGAGCCCACTGTGTAACACATCGGCAGAAGGCCCAGAGAGCATTCTATAGGAGATAACATGAATAATCAGAATCCAATATACTGGCAAAGAAATTTAAAACATTCGTAGTTTAGATAGGTATAAGTTGCATAAAAATGATTGTAATTGTACTTTTTCATGGCTAATGTTCACATTACTTTTTTTTAAACATTCTATTCCTTGTAACCATTTTCGAAAAAAAATTTATATCTACACTTCTGTTGACTAATGTTTCAAGTTCTCTGATTTCTAATGGTTGCGTTTCAACTTGAATGAAACTCTTTTAGCGTTACTTCTTATTACAAACAAAGGTCTCTGTTTGCAACTTGGACTGTCGACTTGTATCAACGGTTTGGTTAAACATACGAAAGTTTCTTCACACCATATTTGGCAGTTTGACATTTCAATAATCAAAATATCAGGAAAATAAATAAAAATGTTATTTTGTATGGTTACATTTGATGACGGGAATAAATAATCAACCAAATACACAGAGAAATAAGCCTACATAAGTTGTTTACCATTTACAAAATGAATTTATCTATATGTAACAATTTGTGTTCATTATCAGTTAAACTTACGATATAATATACAATCATACCAAAAAATAAAAGAATAGAAAGATAGTGTAAACCCACTTAGAATTTCGTGTTATTCTTCGGTTTTCATGAATGCTAGACGGACCAGTCAAAGTGTCCTCCTCTTCCTCTTTAGGTACAATACTTGTAAAACGTTCCTCTTCTTTACAGTGTCTCGGATTCGATTGTAAAGTATCTTCATCTTCCTCGTACTTACGATACTGATTACGGCTGTATGAAACGTTAATAGTTGGTGACGCTGTAAGATCCTTTGGGCTTAGAAATGTACGGGATAGAGGTTGGCTATGGTTTACTAAAGCAATATGATATTCCTCTGGGTTTACATTTTCCGTGTCACTAGATGCACCACTTTCCAAAACCCATGATGAACCAGAACAATTACTTGAGAGATCAGTTGACAAGGAACGCCAAGTGTCTTCAAAACTAAAACATAATAAAACTCGGTTATAAGTGTTACATTGCAATTTAGATCATGCGATCAAAAAGATTAATAGCAAAAACAATTGGTCACTTAGAAATTGCTCAGTTTTAATTACATAATAGGATGTGGTATTTAGATTTATGAACCAAAGTATACAAGGTAAACATATAAGATAGGTGATCTATAGTAAGCGGTAAAAAATAAGCTGACTGCAATACTTTCGTTCACATACAGCCCCACGTCCAAGCTCTATCCTTAGGAAGCTTTACTCGCTGCGAGGGTGCTGTCTAAGTAGTGAGAAAATGAAAAATGAACGTCCTATGCCTAGACTAAGTTGTTGAATACAGAACATTCAACCCAAGAAGTTGGGAAACCCTTATTCCAAACAAATGATGTTACACCGAGTCTAGACCCTGAAGGGAAGATTGGATTTAATAATTCCTAAATATCCGTTCATCAAATCATAATACATGAGACCAATGTAATTCCCTGTCTCCCCAAACCAAAGTTGGTGCAGCGGGTTTGAAAACGGCATCACTATCCGTAAAACAGATGCCCAGTACATTTTCATATACACAGCCGTACTGTTTTGAATAGATCTCAAATGTGTAGTTAATCTCCTCATATTTGAGACTAACTTTACGATTTGCCTGAAAACTTATCTAAACAAGCATAAATAGATGACAGAAAACTATAAACAAATGAATAACTTTCTGGATGAAAATTAATTCAATGCCTCTTCTTTGGAAGTTATGGAAGATGCTATAAAACGCGTTTTTGATACCCTATATCTAGTTTTAAGTGCTACACATAATTAGGTGTATGAACACGAATAAGTGGTAAACTGAAATACCTAATAAAACTCAAACAGCTAAATGAGAGTTGTCATTTGTCAGCTGTTCTTTTACAGTCAACAAAAATCATAACCCACTAAACAGAACCGCAAGAAATCAGTAGAAACTCTGATGTATCTTACTAATTAAATCATTTTTAAAAATCATAAGTACATCCTTTTAAATCGAACAAACTTAGTGTTCTAGTTAATTAATTTAATTAGAGGATTACAAACCTATGCAATATTGCCACATTGTAGCAACAAAAACACTAGATGTACCGATGTGAATGACACAAAGTACTTACATGTTGAATGTACGACGAAATATGATGAACAAACACATGTCTTGACGATATCTCATAGTCTGTATTAATCACAAACTAGTGTGAATGATAGGAAAAGTGCTTACAGACACTCTATAGTGTGAAAGTTCAAACAGGTTTTAACAATATTTTGAAATCGATATTACCGAATAGGATTACACTTTATGTCAACTAACGATAAACAAAATCCATGGAAACTTCAGAAAAAAATAGGACACAGCTGAATGAAAATTCATGTACCAGAATTCTCTTCAAAATCAGAATAACATTCAACGAAATAACAATATCAGTAATAATAATGATAATGGAAGCTCACTTGAGATTATCGAAATTATGTAAATGTTTGCGCCACTTCCGAATCATCCCATCCCATGCACGGCGAGAGACTTTACGAAACTTGTTGGGAGTACGAGGATGATACTTCTGGCGCTCAGGTTTTGGGATACTCAACACATATTCAGCATAGCGTTCTGTCACTTTTCCCATATCAATGTCCTTCTGCCTCCTCAACAGTTCCATTTGCCTCCTTTCAAGCTCAATAGGTTGCTGTGTTTCCCCCTAGACACAAACAATATCAGAAACTTCACCAATGATAATGGCTTTTTAAAAACTAAAAACAAGGTAGTAGGAATAAGAATTGAGGCAACAGGTACAAAATTTTGGCTATGACAAGCAAACATCCACACAAGTGTTTCATGAAGGACACTTATGAGTGGTCCACTGGTTGAGATGATACTGCTTTCGCACGATATTTTATTGCCAGAAAACTGAGTGGAGTAGAATAAACTAACTCGGTTACTAAATAAATACATAATCTGAAATAATGTGAATCTATTTCAATCGACAAGAACATATCAAAGGGCTAAAGGTTATGTACATATTTGTGTTTAAATAAATAAATAAAAGGTTATGTATCTATCAAATGTATATACGTTTATTTTCAAATTCTTAGTTGAACTTCTTTAAATTCGACTTGAACTTAGCCCTAACGTGGTACAGATATGTATTAGCCATACCATGCTAGCATAGCAAGCTGAAATTAACAGAATAATTGGAAAGATGTTGAAGTATTGGTTATTTTAAGAGACAGTGTAGACTTAACAATGACGTCATAGTTAAAAAGGTTTGTGTGAAACTTAAGATCTGAGGAAAGTCAAATGAATATATATTTGTCCACTAACAGCATTTATCTTGCGAAATCCTAAACTAGTAGTCTACATCTCCCATTACGAATTCATTTAGAAACTACTTAATCGATAGGCAGACAACTTAAGATAATAGCAAAGTACTACACCCTGTTTATTTCATAATAAAGCCATTTAACCGTACAACAATACAGGAACTAACGATGGATTTTGAGTCATATACGCAGGGAACCTGAGACGACAGTATAGTTAAGCAGATTGCATCTCAGATGTAACTAGAAACCTGCCATTGGTTCAATGCCCATTGCAATATGATCCTCACTTGGAGAAAAAAGTGACGACTGAAGTTTAATATGTACGAAGGTGAAGCCAGTTTAACAATCTAGGTAAAATAAGAGGTATTAATTTGTTTCCATGGCCACCGCTACTCATGTGTCGGTGTGTTGACGTAAATAATGTATCATCTAACATGTTTCACTAAGAGGCAATCAGAACAAGACAGCATCAGTCCATGAAAACTGACTATCGGACTGAGCCATACAGGTAGTTGAAGACAACCTGGTCGAGTTTTGTGTGATTATTATAATTACTGGTTAAGTTTCGATTGACATGAAGCAGAACCATCTGCAACGATCTAGGGACATTCATCGTCTTCCCTTAGAACCTAAGTTACTGAACTACCTCATATATTGTATCGCAATAATCCACATTTTCTTTTCGAAACTTATCTCTTATGTCTATCCTTCCTGCTACTACTAACACTCTTATTATTTCTACTATCCTGAGAATTATTTTGATAACTTCGCTATGCTAATGAGATGTACTACCCTGAAGCATCTAACACTACGTAGGGGGTTAAAACTTTATATGCTTAGAATAAACTCGTGAGGATCACTAAACAATGGACTAGAAAGACTGTTTGAATAACCACAATTTAACTTTTACATGTCGGATAAAAACTGAATAGTCTTACATATCATCCTTTAGTTGTAAAAAACTATTACTAATGAAAAATACCAAGCTAAATGGGGGAAACTATCAAAAGCGAAATTACTTTTTCTGTAAGTCTTCTCTTCAACTTTTCTTCATATCGACTTAGATCTTCGTCTGCATCGTCGGATAACAGCATATCGACTTTCCAGTCTCCTTGAGTGCGATAGCGGTCGAGGCGTTCCTGAGCACGCCTGATTTCAATAAGCGGATCATAGTTTGGATGAAATTTTCTGCGACTTCCAATCTATTTTGGGTCAAAATAATAATGTACGTACCGAGGACAAAATGCTTCGTGATCTGTTGTGGTCACTACATTCCTCTTTAGATCGGTGCCGGGTTCTGTATCTAGGAGTTGTCTCGCAGTTTCGAACAGGCGTAGACATGCGAAATGGAGTGGACGGGCCGACTTCCTGAGTAGATGACCTGCTACTTCTTATCTTTTGAGACGAAATTTCCGACGTTCGACCATTTTCCTGGTTATCATGACTTAATTTATCTACATGACTTCAGATACTTAAAGCCAATTAATATGACAATACCTTTGGGTCGTCAACGGGTTGATACGCGAACGTCCTTTATTAATAGCCCCTAAGAAAACGGCATTCTTGACTGGAGCGGACTTTCTGGACCTGCGGCGATCCTCCACAAGAGACGACATTAGGTTGAAATTCGAACGGAGCGGCTAGATGAGGTTATTTAGGATACCGCTCATGCTCAATATCTAATATGACATTCGTGTAGTGTAAAATATATTCGTGTCATGATTACCTACGTATTGGTATCAACGAGTCAAAAACTTCACCACTGAATTTTCCAAATAATGTTTTCAAATTTCTTAGAAGTAATGGAAGTTTAGTGGAAACCTATTCGTTATCCGTTGGATGTCTCTCATTTTGACTTGTCGTAGAATATGCATGGAAATCAGATTTATAGAATTTCAGTAGAATGCAATACGATTGGAGATAATACAAAAGAAAAAACCTTTCTCTTACCATCTCAACTATTCACCAAACTTCCGTGGTATTCTAAGTGAACTTCAGTCGACTGAAAGAACCTCATCAGTGAGATTTGTTA